TCACATCCTTCGATACCTCCTGTCCTTCTGGTGTGTGGCGCCAGCAGCCCCGGCTACCCTGCACGCTGGGAGCAGATGGGTGTCTATCACCCATCCCGGCACCCCTGAGAGGGGTGGGGAGAGTGGGCACCAGTCCCTCTGCTCTGCAGAGTGTCCCATGGGTGTCTCTGAGCCCATCCTTGGTGAGTGCTGTGGTACACATGGATTTGGGACAGCACAGAGGCACCAGAGGGCATCTTCAAGCTCACAGGCATCTCACCTGCCTTCCTGGGCCAACAGCCACTTCGCCTACCAGCACTCTCCCACATGTAGGATGTTTCTCTGTCTCATCCCAGCCGGAGCTTTACAGGACAGGGTGCCACAGAGCTGCAGACATCCTTGGAGATGCAGCCCTCAAGAGGACCTCTTGCCCAACATGAAGCCCCACAGCAGCAGAAGCCCCTCTTGCACCAGCCTTGGGAGATGCTCATGTGCAAAATGATGGAAAGCTGCCCTTCCACTGCGGGGTCACCCATCGGAAACACCAACCTTGGAAAAGGCTTCCCTCACTGGGATTTCCAGATACCAGCACCACGCTGAGGTAGCAGAGCCTGTTTTGGCCATGCCGTTCACCCAAGACCCCCGTAAGTACTGGAAGCTGCACCGCAATGCCCCGGAGCCGGGAAAACCCCTCCCCAGTGCAGCTGGGAACTGGCGGGGCGCAGGAAATCTCCATTCATCAGCGCTTGGTCACCAGCCAAATTGGATCCAAACCAACCATTTTTTTCCAACTTCCCAGTAAACTGGAGTTTCCAGAGACCTGTGGCCAGTGGAGGAAGGGGTCAGCAAGGGGGGCTGCAGGAGGATGCGGGTTTCGCCCCCGGCTCCGTGATGTCCGGGCTCACAGGCGGTGCCGGTGCTGTTCCCCACCCATAATGGGCTCAGGGTTGGGGGATGGAGGTTGTTTGGGTGCCCACGTCAGGCAGTGCAGGTGGTGGGTGGCAGGGCAGGGTGAGAAGCTGTGATTTTTGGAGGGAGGTTTAGTAGACATCAGAGGGTTGGCAGGCTCCAAAAACCCTTTCTTTTTAATTTTGGAAATGGATCTGCAAACCCCTTAGGGTCCTCAGTTCCAGCAGGAGGACTTGTCCCTTGTCAAGGGACCATGCTATCCCCATGGGGTCACCCCATGGGCTCATACCAAGGGGCTGTGTCGCTGCCCGCCTGCTCTATAGCACCCAGCAAGGCCAACAAGTCAAGGGGTTTCCCTCTCTCCCCCCCAAAAAAAAGCTCTCTGCTTCATGGTAGGTGTCTGCTGTGTCCCCATGGGGTGGTGGCCCCGACGAGGGATGATGGGCTCAGCTAAGCCAAGGCCTAAGCTCAGCCCGGGCATGGCTCCCAGGGTGGGGGCCAGGCTTCTGGGGGAAAGGGATTTAGTTAACTAAAAAGAAAAAAAAACCAAAACAAAACAAAACAAAAAGAAAGTAACTATCAAGACCACAAACACAGGTCTGGTTTTCATTTTGAAGGAACTTTTCGTTACTCATTTGTCATCAGCGTTATTCCTCCAAGTCCAAAACGCTTGGTGTGATGGGATGGGATTTCCTTCTCAGCCAGTAGAAATACTCCGTTTCTCTGAAAAATGAGGTTATGCCGGGAAGGGGATCACTTTGGCAAGAGGCAGCGGGAGATGGACCTTGGCTGCCCCCCAAGTGAGTGCTTTCCCCGCCGTGCTCGCCCTCGTGCCCCGTGGCGGGTGGCCGAGGGGCGTTCGCCGCGTGATGCCGGCGTGGGGAGGGGATGTCCTGCCAAGCGCCATGGTCCAGTTGAGCTGGATCCCCCTGCGCTGAGCCAGGAAGGGACCAGGACGACCAGGACCCTGCAGGGATGGAGCTGCCTCCCACCCATCCACCCCAGCCTTTCTCCTCCTTCCTCTTTCTTTTTCCGCCTTTCCCTTCATTCTCCTCCATCTCCTTCCCTCCCCGCTGTCCCAGCCCCTTCCCCTTCCCTCCCGGCGTGGCCAGGCACCAAAGGGACTTTGCCCCCCAAGGCAGCAGCTCGCTCCCCGCTCTCTCCCGCAAGTCCAGGAGCCACTGAAAGGAGAGCAAAATGCTCCGGTCTTATCTGCGAGGGGAGGCAGGCTCGGTGGGCAGGGTTTGCGTGAAGGCTGTTGGCTTATAAGCAGCCGGCAGCGGAGGCAAAGCTATCTCGCAAAGCACCGAACGGATCCCCCCCCC